GGGGGGGGGGGGGGGGGGGGGGGGGCAAGGACTTTTGTATATATATGGTAGACTCCCAGGCCACAGGATGGATACCCATAGTTGAATTTTTGGAATTTGAAGAAATAAATAAAAATAAATACTTAACTAAAATCATTGATGTCTGTAGGTTCTCTCATACTCTGAAAAGTTATTGATCTTCCTTGTAATTAAAGATAATGGACAGTTAAGGTGCAAGAGTGGCCTGTCATCCTACAACAAAGTTGGGTTTTTTTGCATTCTGTTGTGCTGACTAACATTTTAAATTTAATCATGAAGAAAAGATTAAATGCAAAATCATGTTCAATTAACAAATGGCTTGAATAGTCAATAATTAAATTAATATATCTTGCTGGCCTTCTGTCCTTATGAAGAACCTCTGTAATAGAGAGAGCTATGCTACATGTGTCACAGTGCTCTGCCACAAACGGAGTATATCTGCTTAGGGTTGATTTTATCTAATTAATATTCTCCTATTATTACATGGATCTGATTTTGTCCAAACACTGTTGAAGTTTCAGAACTCCCTTCAGTATAAATCCAACAATTTTTATTCTATTTTTATTCCTATTATAGATTATCATAAGAAATATGAAGAAATCTTTATTACTTGGTTACGTACTTATGTCCCTTTCTATTAACAGGCCAAATATCCTGATATTGTAACACTTCCTGAAGGACCAACAGGAGATTACATGATTATAAAGAACCCTGAGCTTTCTGGGTAAGGCAACTTCAAGATGCTTATTAATGTTTTTATTTAAGGAAAAAGAACAAAACCCAAGTTTTGATAATGACATTTTAAATGGGTTTTTTTTAGAATAGATGATCTCTACTCAGCTAGAAGTAAATGTGAAGTGTCTGCCAGAATCGCAATTTGTATATATAGATTGGCTAACTCTCAGAATCACATTATTGCTTATATTATGTAATCACTTTCTCCTTTACATTTAAAAGAGTATTGTATGAATCATTTTATAGATACAGCCATATTTAGTTGAGAAATTTCAAGCAAACATCACAGGATGCTTGCTTCCTGTGGCCCTGCTGGGGATGACATAAATAAATATATGAAGTTGCAATACATTTCTAAGAGAAATTACAGATTATACCTAGACTGAGAAAGTGAGAGGCTCTAATAGCGTTTTATATTTTGAACAACAATAATACTGAAGATTCCAAGGCCTTTATGACCATTGCAAGAGTGATGTTTTATCTATTAATAATTAATATTTACAAATTCTGCTCACCTCATTCAGGTCATCACTTTAGTGTAGTTTATGGAGCAGTGTGAGGAAGGTGTAAAAGATTTGACCGATAGTTTAAAAACACTAAAAGTAGAGATGGGCCAAAGAAGCAGTTTCAGATCTTTATCCAGCCCAGGTTTGGGGCTGAGTTCAGTGGTGGTGAAATTTATGGTTCTTCAAATAATTAAAGATTCTCACTGGTATGTCTCTCTCACACCCTGCACTTTAACAGAGATTTTTACCTTTAGCGGTGGCAGTGATCCCTTGATTCGAGGATGATCTCTACCATGGCTCATTGATGGGTTTTGAGGTGACTTAAAGAGTCCAGTCCTTGAGCCACAGATACATTCACAGAAGTTACAGGTCTTTCTGCAGAGGAAAGTAGGCCATTGGCCAGGATTTCTCTCATTTTCCTTCCTCCACTCTCTCTTCTCAGCAAAGATGCTAGACCTAGAAGTGGTCTGCCACTTGGTTGAGGTTGCAGTACCACTAGAGTTGGTTAGCAGCTACCTCCTCCTAGTTGTCGATGTCAGCAGCAGTTTTCTTGAGGTATGCCTTCACTGTGTCCTTGTAGAGCTTCTGCTGTGAGATCTCAGGCCACAAGTAAGGTAGGAGAAGAGCACTTGTTTTGGGAGCTGAGAATCAGGCATCCACAGTGTCCAATCCAGCAAAATTGATGCTTGAGGATCACTTACCCAATGCTAACATGCCCCATGCTAGAAGCAAGCAGCTTAACCGGATTGAATGATTGAAGTAACTTGAGTCTGACTGGCTTACAACTATTTTCTTTAAATATTACTAATTCTTCAAAAGTAGGTTGACACAACTACGAATGTTAAAGCTTTGACTTGGGGATATGGCTCCTGCCTACCCAAAATTCCCTAGTCTTATTTTTAAGTTGAAGCTAGATCCTGACACATTTATTCATGTCGTGTAGGAGCCAACTATCCACAGTTCTACTGAAACCAGGATGGCAATTATAGAAATCAATTGCTGTTAACAAGTGTAAATAAAAGCACAGCATTTTGCTATTGGCACAGTTCAATTTCTGACCTTCTTGAAAAGAAAGTTTGGTTTACTATTTTGATATTACCTAGTGTTGACTTTTATTTAGTACTTACATATTAATTCAGAATCTGAGATGTGCTTACAGTAATTTTTCCACTGAAATAGACATCTAAACTTATTACTTTAAGTACTATACATAAGTTACTTGTATTTTATATTATTATGTACAATACAGGTTTGAATTAATGATCATTTGGAAGATAGCTGTGAATGAAGAAGGAACAGCAATACCTGTCCTGGATCTTCTGCCTAAAATACCAGCACACAGTAATGTCACTATATGTTCTAAAATCATTTTTACTCATTGTGTGTTTGAAAAGTGACGTTTTCCTGGCTCATAGTAAAGTCACTAATTAGATTTTGTCCAGATGGTTACAGAATGGAAGTAGCTACAAAACTCCACTTGAAATGTCTTTCCAGTTTGATAAAATTTCACTCAATAGTGTAGTCAATCAGTGGTATACCCACTGCATGGTGTTTAGAACTGTACCAAAAGTAAAAATATCACCTCTACTCTTCCTTTTTATCACTAACCTCCTGCTTTGACAAACTGGTTCATGCGTAATCCTTGTTCAGGACCTAGAGAGATGCTGGTACGAATGAGAGAGGCATGAGGGCTTCCCTTCAGTGGAATCTTGAGGGAATAGTTCTGATACAGCCACCAACTCTATAGTAGATTTCCTTTAAGGGCAATTTAGGACACTGGTAATGTTAGGCAACCACTATGAGTGTTAAGCAAACTGTGAAATCAGTGCACAGCGTCCACATATTTTCTGTTGAACAGATGTATGACTTTAAATCATGCGGCTGTTTCTATAGGCTACCCTTTCCTTGCTCTATCAGGAAAGAAGGCTTCTGTCAAAGTTTCATGCTTTTAGGTATTCATGAATGGTGCTTCCTGCAAAATGATTTAGCATTTTCCAGTTCTTAAAATGTGTAAGGCTTTCAGCAAGAGCATATTCAGTCTAGTTCACTACTTGCCAGAGCCAGAGACAAGCAAGCAACATTAGGCAAGTGCTCCAAAGTAAGTGGTTGGCAAGTTTCAAACTTTCAGTGGATGATGTAGTCTCTGCATCCAGGTACCTTCTAAAGATTTTGATTGCTGTATTTACTGTAATTTTGATTTTGATGTCTTTAATCTATTTTTTTCCTTGCAGATATACAGCACAAAGCAGCAGCCGCAGCTGAAAATGCACCTGGCTGTTTCAGAATTATGCTGCGTTTGCTTGGGATTGAGGCCTCCATTGACAGTGTGGTCAAATCATTTGCTATGGAAACGGAGTAATTTATAACAGTAGCCATGTGAATTATACCGTCTATAATTTTTATTGAATATAAACATTAAGTTATTTTCCATTTAGAAACCATACCCATAAAACATGCTATCTGTACAATTATGGCACATTCTATATAAATTGTCATGATGTGAAAAATAAATACAGCCATTTAAATACAAAATGCCAAATAAAATAGTTACATGTACAGAGTGAATTTCATTATAAAATTTAACTCTCTGAATCAGTAATGTACCGGGGGGGGGCGTCCTTAACATTTTCTAGGTATCTGGAAAGTGTTACAAGAACATATGCTGTCAAATTCAAGTCCATAAAAAGTGGAAGTTTCATTTCACAGCTCTATACAAGTACAGTGATCTTAACAGCTGCTTACAGATATTAAAAAACAAACACACAGATATTACCAGAAGTAGCAGCGTGATAGTTCAACCCAATTCCACAGCATCTGTAAAGGTCGGGCGCTTCAGCAGGGCTTTTTGCCACTTTCATCTAAAGCCAGTTCAATCAGCTATTAGATAAAAGCACCAAAAAGGCCCACTAAAGCACCCAATCCATAGACATTGGGTGGGCCAGGTCGAATTAACATGATTCCTCTTCTGGGTGTGCGCTGGGTTTGGTGTGGGAGCACACTGAGTTTAAAAGTAAAGCGCCATTTGGGAGGGGGTATTGTTTTATTTTGTTTTTATAATGTCTGTAAGCAGCCTCATGGCTCAAAAAAAAAAGTAACATTAAAAGAAAAATAAAGTTCCTCAAGTATTCCTGTTACTAAATGTAGGTAAAGTGATCATCATAGCCAATTAAAAAAAAGTTAGTTTGTAAAGAAAAGCACAAAAAAATCCAATTGCATGAAATAATTTTGCTTCCTTTTCCATAATTTGTGGGTGCAGAATAGAACCCCATTCTCACAAATCATTAATTGGAGCAAAAAAAGAAAACCCATGGCAAACAACTGAAAGCTTACACATTTTTTAATTCAAAGGGATAGCTTACTACTGGCAATAGTGCTTAACCTTGCTTTGTACAGCTAATTTAATAATTCTGGTAAACAAGTAAACACATCTCACATATTTGCTTCCCTTAACATAAAGGAAACAATTTAAAGTTGTCTCTTGCTACATTCCTTACCCCTCTGACAGATTCTACCGCTTAGACCTTCACAAATGAAGTAATAGTTTTCAAACAGGTAAAATACAGTAACATTTGTAGGGAAGGAGTGGGTCAATATTGCCACTACTTTTCAGAAGCATTGTAGTATCCTCACCCAGATATCACAAGCAACTTGCCTATTTTTTTTTCAAAAACTGGGAGACGGTTGTCAACCCCAAAATTAATTCACACTACCTAGATGATGTACTTTTTGTATACATTTAATGTAAGCTTTTTCTAGACTCAGGAAGTCATGATGCACATCAACTTTGGTCTCCTTAGCAGATATAATACACACATTACATGTCTGCTTCTTATTCTCAGCTGATTTACAGGTATGCATTCAAAGAAATGAGGAAGCATATAGAAATAGTGATATTCAAAAAAAAACAGGACAGGGCTGCCAGATCTATGATTATACCAACCAGTTTTAACATAGTAAGATGCTTTCTGGTAACAACTTTCAAAACTGCCATCATAATAGTGTGTTAGTAATAATAGTTAGGAATACTCTTCTCCTATCATTACGCCTGGCCAAAAGTAACTAGAGACTGAGGCAGCCAATTAGACTGTGTCTTGATTCAGAGGTTTTCCACTCCCCTCTCTCTCCCCAACCCACCTTCCCCAAATGAGCACATAGCAAAGTAATGCTAGGAATTAGCAGACACTCAGGAATTACCAATTACAGCTTTCTAAAAGTCTAACATAAGAAAGGCTGGTTGGCATTCTGCTAATCCAAATAAGTGAGCAGTAGCTAAATGTTACTAGGTCCCTTGTGCACTGCTGTTTTCATTCCATATAACCCTTGCTCTTTATGCCAACCAATTTGTTCCATTTCTATTATACATATCACAGCAAGCCTTAATAGAGCTTTCCTGCAAGAAAATGAAAACAAGCTACTGTCAGCACATTTAGTCACACAGGGAAGTTTTAGCCTAAACCTGAAACTTAAAACCAATTCTTCAACCTTTTAAAGTAGAAACACTTTTGCTGTTGGTATTTTTCACTTTGTCTACAGTCCAAAGGGGCTCTGCTCACTTAAGCACAGTCTTCTTGATCGCTTCAGAAGGTGGTATTGTCACAATACTAGTCACCTACCAATAGCAGGCTGCAATGAAACATTATTGATGAGCCCAGATTGCTCTAAGGGCTATATCACATGTAAAAATTATGTCAAGAATACCAAAAATAAACCTATTCCAGCAAATCATGCTACCAGCTGACAGTGGGTTCAAAAGGGTTACATTATGCATTATTCATTTCCCATTGTGCAGCAATATTTCTAAAAGTTAATTTTCTTTTAAAAATCATACCACCACTCTGGGCCCAAGTTTAATGGTCAAGAGTTCATGCAGTTGCGCATGGGTTCTACTCCCGAACGCAGGTGAGGATTTAAGATTTTGGAACTATTTAAATGTAATATTTAAAGTTGTCAATATAACTTTATTGAATCTTTTATAAAGGAGATGACTTAAAGACCTACATATTTAGAAATTCATTGCCAGTACACATGCACTGTATACTGAAAGGCTGCTTTTTGTGTAGTTTGAATAATATCACATTATACATTTGTAGGGTACATGACCCTCAGACATGCAAAGAAAAACAAGTAATAGCTGAAAGAGCCAGTAGTTATACCACAGTACCCACCATTCTGAATCCAACTTCATGTTCTAAGTTTTGGACTAGCTGAAGCTCTTCCAGTTTTAGAGCTTACAAGACTCAGAAAAGAACATCTCATCCACAAATACATACAGACTGGCAGAATATGTTTAAGTTGTTTGCCACGCAAAGTATGTCCATTATTCATTTGCTGAAGTGACAACCACCATCAAGAAAGTCACCTTACAAAGACAAACTTCACAAAATACAAGCAGATACTGTCAAATCTTTCCTCAAGAAAAAGGTCCTCCTTCAGTCAGCCTGACTCCTCTTCAAGAACAAGCATAAAAGTGAACTAGCTGTGCTAAATGCAGAGACAACAGCATATCTGATTCTGACACTTAATCTGAGAGTCCAAAACCATATGCAAAACTATAAGAAACAGAGCATGCAACTCCTATAGCCCAATCTAAGTTAGGAAGAGCTAGCTCCAGTTTCATTAAATTAACAAGACTGTCCTTCAATAGCAGCACATATTGTGTACAAAATAACTGTTGGTTGGGTCAAAGACTGATGTACTTTCAGCCACCAAATTTACACACTAGAAAAAGAGTGGCTTGTACACTAAAAAATCCTAACCCTTTTCACACATTTTTTGAATGTCTACTTATAGCTGTTCTAGTTACTACACAAACCTCTCAAGACTGATAACTAAACTTTTGGAAGCAGAATCTGGATTTCTCAATCTCATGCACTAAATGCTTTATACACATTTGGCACCAATAAGCAATTATGACAATTTAGTGGCAATTCCTTTTTTAAAAAATTAAACGGACAATGGACAGTTTATTTAAAATAAACTTCAGTAATGCATTTTCTTTGTGCTCAGTGCTGCTTCATTTTTAGTTAACTTTTTTCCATACAGTTCCCACTCCATAAGTATAAGCAAATATCAAATGCACAAGTGCAAGGTAATTCTTACGGTAGTGATTGAACGTTCTGCATTAGTGCAATAGAGCTGGAACTTCCTAACTCTACATTAAAGAATAAAACAGTTATGCCAGAACATTTCATTCTGTGCTCCACAGTAGTTATTCACTTTTAAAGGATGCAGAATAACATCAATCTGTATTCTTGTTGCAGGGTATGACAGGCATCTGTTCTGTAATATTGCATACATTCGCTGAAAGTTATATGCTGGGAAGTGTGTTTTAGTGCTATTTCATTTCTTTGAAAGATCTTCTGGATTTAAAAAAAACCTCTCAAAGCAAATACATTCACAGCCTAAAAATGCACTAAACACAATAGAAAAAAAAATCAGTGTAATTACATTTCATTAAACGTTTACATTAAGTGTTAAAATTCAAAACAAAAAATAGTTTTAAGGAAACTGTTACACTTTATGGAGAACTATGCAGTCTTCATTCTCCTTAAAGAGATTTGACATCACTGGATCTTCTTTGGCTTGCACATTCTTCAGATAATAGTTTACTATCTTGCCATCAAGTTTGTATTGATGAGGAATGCTTTCATATGGCTTAAGATCTAGGTCCAGGACAGAGACTGAAAAGGTGAATCTTGATTTGGATGATAAAACCACAGATTTTTGCTCAGAACTGAAGGAAGCGGGAAGAGAATGTTGCAAAACAGTAAGTTAAGGCAAACAGTTTGCATGGAAATTTAAAGCATCTATACCACATCCAATGTCACTATGAAAACTGTGTACCAAAATAACTCATGTATTCACCCCTAGAGTAGCGCTGGACGCACGCACGCACACACGCACGCACAGAGTCATTCTATAGCAGCACTCCCTAATAGAAGAAGGCAGCAGAAAATTGAACTTCAGATGGCATAGCATTAAAAGTACCTCTGGCTCTGCTTAACTGACAGTGAGGACAATGAGGCCTCCAAGTCCAAAAATGGCATGGAAACAGGCCAGAATACATTTTTTAGTTGCTCATACCAGCGCTTGGTTAGTTTCTATACTACTTCAACCCAAAGTCTTCTTGAATCCATTCTAGTACTCATACAGTTAAATTAAATGGTCTCAACTGGTGACTTTGCAACTAGATCTAATTGGAAGGGGGGAGGAATCATCAAAAGCGCAATAAATTTCCATGTGATAGTTAGAAAGAACCATCATGCAAAAGAACCAACTTAGGCCCATGACAAACTTTATTCACTGCTTTCAAGGCACTACTGCCCACGTGTCACAGCCCTTCCAAGGCTTGCAGTGCAGCAAGCATGGGACAATTTTATCTGGAAGCAGCAGCACCCAGATGTGATGCGCTGAGGCAGCACCAACAGTGGTTCTCAACCAGGGTTGCTGCCACACACACAAAAAAAAAAAGGGGTAGAGGTTTACCCTGAGCACCACTGGTTTAGAGCCTCCTGCCCTGAATGTTGTTTTTCATTTTTGTTTTTTTTTAACTTCCTGCTTAGTCTTTCTACTGCAACACTTTTTTTGAAGCTTAGACTCAAACTGTGTGAATTGTACTTTGGAGTACAAAATAACATAACATGTATGAAATAACATAATTTAAACTCCAAAAACTCCATTACCATTCATCCTGAAGACAAGGCGAAAGGGCAATCATGATGGAACAGTCCTTAGCTGTCATTGCTATTCTGTACTGTTGAACCTACACACAAACAAAGATTGATTAAGTTATCTCCATAATGTAAGAATATTTGCATTTCTGGACTGTGTTGCAGATACAAAGCCAACAGTCACCTTTTAAGCATGCACAATAAAATTGAAGTAATACTTGCTTTAGGAGCTGAAGACAATAGATGTCCTTTAGATCATGAAATCTGAGCCACTTTCACTTCAACGTGCGTTACATGGTACACGTGGCTAGTGGTTCAGACTTTCATGAAAACATGTTTGAAGAAACAGCATTTTCAGAGTTTGCTGTTACAACAAAACAGGCAGTAAGCAGCTGTTCATTTACACAGATGATCTGATTGAGAGAGGAGGAAGGAATTTAGCCTTTTACGTAGCAAAAGGTCCAAACAGATTTCCAAAGGTGAGCACAGGCAAGTCCACTGGCTTCCATGGAAACTGTAATGGCTCAGGCAGCTGTATTTTCTCGATTGTTACAGTAAAGCTTCAATACCCATACTGAAGAAAGATACCTTTGTCAATGCAAATGCTACTGTTCCATCATCTTCAGTTGAAAGATCTAGCAGCTTCTCATAAAATGCTTCATTGTAAGGTCCACCTATCTGCAATGTATTTCTGATAAATACATGCATACACAAAAAAAAGAAAGAAAGAAAAGTGTTTGAGAAAGAGTTCCAGGCTCTACTGGCCAAAACAGCTGTTTTTGGCTTAAAGTCTATCTCTAGCATTACTATGGGAAAAAATGCAGTGTTGTAAAGATAGGGAAGTTTCAGATCTTCCAACAATTTGCAGTGCCTCTCAGAAAGGTGATAATGATTACTGTTATGGTTATTGGCATTGTTATTTCATTGAAAAGCCTGTTACAACAAATGCCTTAACTACATTTCAAACTACATGCATACAAGTTGGCTAACACGAGAGAAGCTGGGAGCTAAATTTCTAGTTTAGTGTAGTGGTTCTCAACTGGGAATCCACAAGCACCCCCTCAGGGGTACCACCGCACAGGTACTACCACTGGGCCCAGGTAGAAGTACCTCAAGGGGCTGTGACATGCACTTTCTGATAAGCCTAAAGTAGGCAGGAGAACTGGCTTGCCCTACAGCCCCTTCCGGCTCATCCCCCACCCCATGCTCCTCCTGCAAACAACCTCCTTTCCTGTATGCCTCTGTTTATGGGAGGTGCATTCAGAGTCAGACTGGGAACTGCAGCACCAGCCAGTAATCCTGCCTGCTTTGGAGCCCTCAGAAAGCCCAAATGAGGCAGGAGAGTGCCTGTGCTACAGGATGCTTTTACCTAGTTGTGGTGGCAACAGCAGCACCCCAGCTCAGAGCCAGTGAGGTAAGCTAAAGCAGCACACTGCAGTCTGAAGTAGCATATGCAGTGTAAATGAAGGAGATTCATATAGAAATCAAATCTCAGAGCATTAATATAATTTTGCCTTAACCCCACAAACAGATGCAATTAGCTCAATGTTTAAAGAGGTACAGTGAGAGAGATGGTATCCCAGAGGCAGTGAGAACTTTTTCTTTTTAAATGTGGTCAAAGTCACTTGCAGTCTCCAGAAAGACTGCACAGTGGCTACTATTAAGTCTTCAAAATCAGAAGGCTAGTCGGAGAGAAGTGTCTTGAAGTGCTGCAAGGCAGGAGAGAGAATACTACTGGTTTAAGGCTGAGTGATTCAAACATATGCATTGGTCAATCAGGTCCTTCCAACAGGAAGGTTTCTCCTGCCCCTTCTACGCTTCTTCTAAAGTACTTTCCATAGGAAACACAGAGAACACACTCACAGTGGTTCAGTGTTTCTCAACCAGGGGTGCTGCCACATTCAAAAAGTTGCGGAGGGTGCCCTGACTCCAAAAATGTTGAGCACCTCTGATTTAGTGGTAATATAGAGCACAGGGAAATGCTACATGAGAGGCACAAATATAAATCAATTGCTCAAACTCCCACCCAAATATGCAAGATTAACTTTCTATGGCCTGCCTTTAAAAAAAACCTTTAAAAGGCATGGGTATATTGCCAATTGTTTATAAGCAGGACTTCACACTAACTACTACTCAAAAAGTAAACAGTGCATTTTGCAAGTGAACCTGTACTGCGCTCTTGTGGTTAGTGCCTGTACTGCCCAGGGAAGTGATATTCTTGGGAATGTAAGAAGCATCACAAATAAAAGAGGCTTCTTCAGGACAGTCTTCCATTACAGCTGATCCACTGGACCCTGCTCTGACTGCCATGTAAAAAAACACATGCTCCAGTAAGTATTTTTTTCAAAAGGCAGCCTATACTGTAAGACAAGGATGTCAAACAGGGCCCACAGAGCTGGGTCATCCAGCCCCCAGCCTTCATCAGGGAGCTTCCTGTAGTGGCAGCCAAGTGCTTGGGCAACACTTGCAGTGCTGAAGCAGCAGCAGCACTGTGGTGTGTTCCTGTGGCAGCAGCCAAGCAACCATGATGCTGGGCTTCTTTCTGCAGTGCTGCTGAGACTTCGTTGCCACAGCTGTTGCCTGGGTGCTTGGCTGCCACTGCAGGAAGAATCCACAGTGCTGCATCTCTTCCCGAGTGCTCGGCTGCCACTAAGGGGCTGCTGGGGCTCCAGGGCCATAGCTCTCGCTGGCTTGACTGCCAAGCCCCCAAGGGAGCTCTGTGCTGGCGCCTCAGCAGCACTAAGGGAAGAAGCCCAGTACCGTGGCTTCTTGTAGTAGTAGCCAAGCACCTGGGATGCCAAACCTCTTCCTGCCAGGTCCTGGGCCAGCCAGAGTGGGCATTATGTATTAGATCCAGTACAGTGGGCCCAATACAGCCATCTGGCCTGTGGACCAGTGCCACACCACTCATCTGGCACAGAGGACCAGAAGAGTTGGACCAGAGGTGGGCAATTATTTTGACTGGAGGGCCACTTTAGAAATTTGGATGAGCTGTTGAGGACTGCGGTGGGGGGAGGGATGCTAACTTGGTCTGGCATGGTATGGCATGAAGGTGGGGAGGGGTAATTGATCCTATCTGGCCCAGGCCTGTCCACCCTGCATCCACCACTGGGGCACCAGTCTGAGCAGATGGTCAGAGTCTCCAGAGAACAGCCAGGATTCCCCAAGGGCAGGCTCAACCAGGCAGATGGGATGGGGCTGCAAGCAGAAAGGGAGCAGCATCTGGGAGCCAAACAGCTTGGTGGGGGCCAGGGCAGAGCCATAATCTGCTCTCCACATGGCACAATTGCGGCTCTGCCCCAGGTCCCAGCCCTGCATTGTTACTACCCCACAATCCCAGCCCCCATCCACTCATCCCAATCCTGAAAGCTGCTCAATCCCAAACGCCCAATCCTGCTCAACTGCAGCCCCATCCCATCTGCCCAGCCAAGCACACCCTGCCCACAGGGGGTTCATGGAGACCCTGCCTGCTTGCCCACCTGCTCTGTCCCCGGTGGTGGAGGTGGGGAGGACAGACTGGGGTGCCCCATCAGCAGGGCCAAGTCCAGCAGTGGCAGAGACACTAGCAGCAGCAGCCACCATGCAGTCTACTGGGAAGCAGAGTCCAGGCGCTGCACTGCCCCTGCACCACTGCGTGCTCAGGAGCAGCAGGACTGGCTACACATAGCCTCAGCTGCTCCCCACACCTGGGCTAGGCTGGGCAAGGCCGGGCCGAGGGACACACGACAGGCCAGATAGAGTCCCTTAGTGAGTCAGATCCAGCCCGTGGGCCATATTTTGCCCACTCCTTAGTTAGAT